GAAAGAGAGAGAAGCAAGGGGAGTGGAAGGAAAGCTTAAACAAGCGTGAATAAAACCAGGATCTGGTCATATGTGTCTAAGAACCAGATTCAAGAAAAGAGAAAGAGGAAAAAGAATAAAAGGATCGGTCAGGGCAAACACAGGCAGGTGAAGTGGGGAGATGGGGAGGTGCAGGAGAAAAGAGAAGGTGGTCCAGTGAGTTCTCCTGGAGAATGTGGGTTCTGCTAGTGGAAAACTGTTTACATCTCCTCTTGTATTGCTCTGCTTCCATGCTGAGGAAAAAGACCAAAGGAGGAGGAAGATGACGGGAAATCCCAGCCTGGCAGACTGCTGCTGGAGTCAGTGGGCATTTATGCGACAGAGTGAAAAACAACAGCGGCTCAGGTCCATCTGAGGTGTGAGGTTAGCTTTTGGGGGTGTAACCACTGCTGGCTGTAAATGAGCTACTCTACCAGATACACCCTAACCTCACACACTCACCCTCACAGAATTGTTCCTACAGGTGAGAGGTCCCGAGGAAAGCCCACTCACCGTGCTGCTGCAGCCAGCAAAGCAGGCAGATAAGTATGTGACCCCGTCTGCCCCACAGACTGGAGTGAAGGAATCAGTTTGGCATTCACAGTTGTTATTGCAGGGGGAATATGGGTCCAGAGATGAGGTTGGAGTTGAGCTGGAAGAGAAACAGAAAGAGAAATTAATGGGCAGTGTGATGATATCAGCCAGCTTTTCCAATCGTTGACACACAAAGATGGCTTTGAAAGGGGGTAGTTAAGACAAACAAATTACAAAAAGCAGTAGGCAGGCTATCTGGGTCTCAGCTCTAAGAAATCCAGGCTACAGCTTCTCCTTGGGGACAGAAATGTCATAGCCACTATCCTTCTGCAACAGAGAATCTAATGTGAGGCTTGGGCTGTCTTGTCCCCAATGAGAAGCCCCAAGGAAACCCAAAGAGATGCTGCAGAGACTACTTTGTGTTTTTCTAGAACAGTAACCGTGAGGAGCCCAGAGCTTGAAGTTGTCATCTTCTAAAGAGTCGCTACTGCATACTGAGGAGCACCAGAAAAGAAAACACAGAATAACTCTCTCCAATTTGTGTGAATGCTACAGGGCACTGACTGCCTCATTTTTCCCCTTAAAATAGGCCTGAAATCACATGTATTCTCTCCTCACCATATCTGAATTTCCAGGCATCTAAAACCTGGTTCTACAAGTTCCCCTCAGGCACTTAAATAAATGTACAAAGCAGGGAATGTCCCTCACTGCCAGGAGAAACCAGACAGTGCAGTGGACCCAATGCTATGTAGGTGGCCATGAGTACAGAATCAGGTCTGGCACCTTTTGATTCAGTTTGATTTTAGTAAAACTCCGTTGTCAGCTGCAGGTACTCATCTCTCACAGTGATGAGTAGCATGAAAACCTCCCACAGTAAGAGCCCTGTACAACATTGCCTTCTATATGCTTGCTCTATATGGCTGTCTAAGGGCCAGTGCTGCCTGAAGGCTGCCCATCGAGGACAAGAACATGGCATTTATGTTGGTGAGGCTGTGTGAGACCCTGAAACTCTCTAGGAACTCACTTGTTTCCATAGGGAACAGTAACTCCTGCCACAGGTCCTGTGTCACATCCCAGGAACAGGAAGGACACGTAGCAAGCTGTAGACACCAGGTTCACCAGCATGGCCATCCTGATGGCTCCCAGAGCAGACAGGCTGAGCTTCTTCACCAAGAGGCCACCCAGGAATATGCCCAGACATGCACATGGGATTGCTGTCATCCCTGCAAGAGGAAAAATCAGTTAGTAATGAGTGTGAGTGAGGCTCAGCAAACCACACTAGTACAACTTTTTACTTCCCAGCAAAAAGATCTGTGTGCCATCATGGAGAAATCCTGTAATGACCTGGAGTAGCACCAAGCTGGGGTTGCCCAAAGAGAGGAACGGATGCAAATGGGTATGCTGCCTTGCACAGAGGAACCATGACCTTCTTGTAGTTCTCGTCTATATTGGAAGGAGATGTCTACCCTAACCTAAGCAGCAGCATCTCTAATGCTTCCTGCAACCGTTGACAGACAAAAGGGACTTTTTACAGAGGCAGGTAGTGATAGAACAAAGGGTAATGGCTTTAAACTGGAAGAGAGTAGGTTTAAATTAGACATTAGGAAGAAATTCTTTCCTGTGAGGATGGACAGACACTGGAACAGGTTGCCCAAGGAAGTTGTGGATGCCCTCTTCCTGGAAGTGTTTAAGGCCAGGTTGGATGAGGCTTGGAGCAACCTGATCTAGTGGAAGGTGTCCCTGCTGATGGCAGGGGGGTTGGAACTGGATGAGCTTTAAGGTCCCTTCCAACCCAAACCATTCTATGATAAAGTCAAGAAGTTTCCGAGGTGTCTAGAAGGTTTGGATGAGCCCTGCTAGGTACACTTCACAGCAGTCTGATCTTCAGAGATTGGGCAACAGTCGCATTTGAAAAGATGACGTTTCCCTTAAAGAATCTTCTTAAACTCTGAGATGCAAAATCACTGCCAGAAGTGACTCACTTGCCAAGGACAGGATGGAATTATCACACTAAACTTGTCTGGGTTCCCTTTTATCCCTTTATTACCAGTCATTCTCCACACCTTACCTACCCAGGCTAAGCTTACAAGTGAATCCAAATCCTGACCCTTCTGGACTCCCATAAATGCCACCTGGGAAATCCAGTAACAACTTTGTTTAAATTAAACAAGTTGTTGTCAGGACTGTGGAAGTAGCAAAATCTCCTTTTCTACTGCCAGGCCAGAGGCAGGACGTGCTCTGGCTCCAGCGTGATTCTTTCTTTGCTGACCATCCAGCATCACTCACATGCTAACTGGTCCCTTTCCTTCTCCCAGTGGATCAAGTGAAGTTACTTTCCTTTGCCAAGCCTTTAATTTTCAGGAAAGATGGAAGAACCTAACCTCCCTGAGACCTTTGCCCTTCTGTCAAATCCTATTAAAATTCACCAGTGAGTTCCTGTGTTGCTGGGGGAGGTAAGATTGACTTGCAGGGGATTATTTCTTTTGGAAAACCAGGCCAAAACCAGAAGATACCAATGTGTTCAATGGGAAAATAAATAATTGTAAGGACAGCAGCTTGCAAGCTCCTTATTTTGATATTAAGATCCACCTATTTCATGATGTTCCAGTTTTTGACAGATCATTGCCAGCTGCCCATCTGGCGAGCTGTGGGTACAGATCATCCAAGATCAACTTGCAGATATCTTAATTGGGTGCTGCTGAAAGAATGGCTGTCATAAACAAATTGCTGAGCTTGTTGGGGAATGAGTAGAGGGAGAAAAGAAATGAAGGTTCTGTCTTTGAATCAGTGTCCTGACAGGGAACAAATAAACATTGAGAAATATATATATGGGAAACCGCAGCAGCATAGCATGGTCAGAGAGAAGGGGCATTTGAAAGACAACCAAGCTGCACTAGCTCAGGTATTTGATCTGCTGCTTGCAATCTCATCACTGAATGCTCTTTCAATACTTAAAGGGGGCTGATAAGAAAGATGGGGACAAACTTTTTAGCAACTCCTGTAGCAACAGGACAAGGGGAAATGGTTTTAGACTAAAAGAGGGGAGATTTAGACTAGATATAAGGAAGAATTTTTTTACAATGAGGGTGGTGAAACACTGGAACATGTTGCCCAGAGAGGTGGGAGAAGCCCCATCCCTGGAAACATCCACTGTCAGGTTGGATGGGGGTCTGAGCAACCTGACCTGGTAGAAGGTGTCCCTGCTCACTGCAGGGGGGTTGGACTAGATGACCTTTAGAGATCCCTTCCAATCCAAACCATTCTATAATTTATTTCCAGTTTAAGGGGAAAGGAGGTACTTGCAGGAGAAACTGGGCTTCCTAACCCAAATAGAGATAGGCTGGAGAACTCTGTGATACCTGAACTATGAGACAAGCAGCTTGATGGGCAGCCGTGTCGCCTGGTGAGTAACTGCAGTCTTGGGCAACCAAGGCACAGCTGGAGCCCAGCCCTCCTGCTCACAGACACACTTTTAGATGTTCAACAAATCACTTTTTGGGCAGCCTAACCAGTGAGCCTGGTTGTGATCAGCCATGCTGAACACTCTTAAATGCCTTTGGATGTTGGAGATTTGGTGGCCCCTGTGGTTACTCACCCAGGAGCTGGTTGGCAGATGAGGTGGTGAGGTTGAACTGCTGCTCCAGGTACTTTCCCAGGAAGGCGGCGAAGCCGGCCACCACTGCGATCTCCATGCAGGCTGCCAGGATGATACAGGTGAAGACAGGATTGGAGAGCAAGTGCTTAGTTACTTTGGGGATCACTAGAAGAGAGGAAAAAGGGAGAGGTGTTTTTCTGTAGGTTCTACTTGAGGTACTGGAGATGTCTTGTCGCTCTCCTGCAAGACAAACTCACTTCAAATCAGGAGTAATTTTCTATCCTGCACAGACAAGCTGGTTGAAATGTGGCAACACCAGAACAAAGTGAAACATCAGAACAGTGTCATCGAAAGATTCAGATACTGGGAGGGTGCAAAAAGAAGTCACCTGTCATTATGTTTACATCTTACAGATGATTTTGAAATTCTGAAGGATCAGTGTTTTCCAAGATTGCTTCTGTTTCCCCCATAGGGAGGTCAATCAA